GGGTCCTTCTCGTTAATCCTCTCCAGCACGTTGATCTCCAGCCTGGCTGCCTCCTTGTACTTCTCCACATTCTTGATGATCTTCAAGGCCACGCGCGCACCGCCCCTGAAGCCAAAACACACGCACACACACACACGTCACACCCCGCCTCGCGCCTCCTGCTCGTCACACTGAGGCACACTGGTCCACGTGAGGCCGGGGTGGGAGATCGGACCAAGCGTATGAGACGCGGGGAAGGCAGTTGAGAGCTTGACACTGCTTTCCAGTTCCAAGAACAGACTGTCCTGCTGTCCCGAGTTGAGTGGTTCTGCTGCTCTGCAGTTTGAATTAAGCTTCCTCTGTACTGTTTGAGGTGCACTGCACGGCAGCTTGATCCACTCCAGGTTCTGCTTCCAGCTGCAGGGCCCCTGTCTTGCTCCTGCCAACACCAGGTCCCATGTATCTCGGGCTCTCCCACTGAGTCTGACCGGATCCTCACGTTCCGAGCAGATCCCACGGACACCGCTACAGAGGGTCGGGGCCTCTCTGGTCTTGAACAGAGAAGACGGCGAAGGGAGTGGACTCGGAGGACTTCACCGGAATCAGCCGCGGAACATGAACTAGGCGGCATGGACAAGCGAACGCTGCGGACAAGCGCATTTAAAACCTGAGCTGGGGGGTAATTCTCTACACAGAGTGCTGTGGGGGTCCGGAAGGAGCCACGATACCCCGGTTCCTTTCAAGAAACAGCTGGCTGAGATCCTGGATCAATTAACTTCAAGGGGCTGAACGGACAGGCCCGATCTCTCTCGTGCAGAAACGCTCTGCTGCTCTCGCGTGAGGTTTCAGGCCTCGGCCCGCTGCGCCCCCCCCGCGGTCCCCCGGGGCGCTTCTGGTTACCTGCGATGGTCGATGCACTGCACCACCCTGCCGAAGGTGCCCTCTCCGAGCGTGTTCACGATCTCGTCTGTCGGGGAAGAGGAGGGGGGGAGGAGGAAGACAAGGGGGCCGGGCGTTAGAGAAACGAGCGAGGAGCAGGCCAGGCACTCAGACCTACTGACAGAGGAGGAGCAGACCACTGAATTAGCACCTAAAGGACGAAAACGCACAGAAACCGCTCACAGTGACGAGAGAGAGTTCTGCCGGCCGCGGCCAGGGCGTGCCTGTCTGGGGCAGCTACAGCTCGGCGCGGGGTGGAAGTCTAGGAGGCTGGCTCTTCCACCCGCCCCCAGAGGCTAGAGCTTTACTCCTCTCGTGCGGTGGATGTGGGGGAGGGGGGGGCGCACCGCCCCGCCTGCACAGCGGGGGAAGTCGAGAGCTAAGGGCGGAGTGGGGGGTGGGTGGAGTGGGGGGATTTTGGGAGGGCTCTTCCAATTGCAATTTCCCTTTCCGTTCGAACCCGCAGACCAGGAGAAAGCAAACCGACCTGAGTAAGTCAGCAAGGAAGGAAGGGGGGGGGGGAGGAGGGAACACAAAGGGAAGCAACCTTTTTTTTTTCCCCATATGGAAGCTTCCGCTAATTAGATTAATTAACAAAAAAAAACAGTGAACACAGAAACACCATCGACGGAACTCAAGCTTGGGGGCCCTGCCCTTCGCTAAGAGGTACCAGAATCGAGAAAACTGGGTTCACCGGTTTTAAAAAGCACTCACAGCAACATCCTGGGCCCTTCCAGGACGTAAATACTCTTGTCTCTGGGGGGGGGAGGGGGGGCAGGGTATCAGTGGGGGGTCTTACTCCTGCAGTAACATTAATGGCATCTGCGCCTACTTACAGACTTGTAAAATGTCACAAAAAAAAAAATACAACCCAAAGAGACTCATACAACTGCGCATATATCAAAAGCTAAGAGAGGCACTAAATGGATAATGTTACGATATGGCCGTGTACATCGTTCTTGCAGGACGTCGCCGGATCGATACATCAGATGCCCTTCCTCATCGTCTCTGATGCTCTGGGCTCTTGTCCGGCTGTTACTCTGTCCACTTCTCTGCTCCGCGGGTTCGACCCCAATCGCGGCGCGAAACGGGGGCACCGGCGGATTGTCGAAGGCAGGCGCAGCCGGGCGGCGGAGGTGGGCGGTGGCGGTTGTAGGTGTTGTAGGCAGATTGGGCCAGTCATGATTTCCCCAAGAGCCAATTCATTTGACGGCACATAGGAATATATAACGATAGGGATATTGCAAGGGAACATGTCAAAGATCACATTTCTCTTTCTCATCTCCTCCTGTCCTGCTGTCTCTCTTGTCTAGCGTCCTCTCCCAAAATACAGGTACATATAAAAAGACACAGAAAAGGCTACTGAGCTCAATCGTTAGGAGGTCAAAAAAAAAACACAGAGCAAAGAGGATTTCAGAAAATAAAAAAAAATCAGGCTTAAGCAAATGAGGACCCCAAAAAAACCCAAAAGCAACAGAAGAGAAACCGGAGACCAGGTTTCCCCTGTTGCCAGCGGCCCCCTCCCTTGGCGGGGGGACAGGCCCGGCCCCCGGGCCCCGGAGGGGACAGCGGCAGGGTGAGGCTGTGGACGCGTGGTCCTGGCTGGACCAGGCCAGGGGCATGGGGGTTACATCAGGCACGCGGCTCCCTCCCTCTTTCACTCACTCTCTCGCACACACAGCTGGGGAACCCGCTCGCGCGTTTGTGGGTGCGTTCGGCCAGGCTCTTGGACGCGGGGGTGTGGCAAGCGCTGCCTCTTCACCAGCAGGCCCCTTCCCTAACAGAGCTGTGCTTTGACACAGACTCTTCGCCCCGGCGCCCGCGGTCCCACACAGGGG